ACCTTGGTGCCCCCCTTTGGGACCTCTGCCTGCTTCCCCCACAGGGTCCCTCTTCTCACACGTCATCCTGGTCCCCTACCCCCATACCCCGTACCCACTTGTGGGATCTCCCGCCTCCCCCTCCCCTCCACTGGAATTCCATCCCATTCCCAGCTCCCCACCGCGTGTGCTCCCTCCCCGCCACCTGCCCCTGCATATCCCTGCACCAGCGCTGCCTCCCCACGTCCTGCGACTCCCACTCCACCCAGCACCCCGTGTCCTTCTGACACTGACCCCTCTGCTCCCCCAGATCAGAGTACTTAGCACGAAACGCCTTCCTCAGCCTGAACCCCAACGTCACGGGAGTCTTCAGGGGACCCTACCCCTTTGGGATTGACCCGGGGAGGAGGGGGGGATGGGAGGACATGCTGGCTGGCTCCCCCCGACCCTCGCCTTGCTCCCCCCACCGGGCACCGTGTGCCCACCCTGGCTCAGGTGCCGCTTCTCACCTGGCTGCAGATCTGGAGCATGGCCAACAACCACCTCAACTTCCTCAACTCCTTCAAGATGAAGATGTCGGTGATTCTGGGCATCGTCCACATGAGCTTCGGGGTGCTGCTCGGCGTCTTCAACCACGTGTGAGTCACTGCTGCCCCCACCCGGCCATGCCGCCCACGCCCACCCATTCTCACCACTTACGCTCCCCCCACCCGGCCACGCCACCCACGCCCACCCATTCTGACCACTTACGCTGCCCCCACCCGGCCACGCCACCCACGCCCACCCATTCTGACCACTTACGCTGCCCCCACCCGGCCACGCCACCCACGCCCACCCATTCTGACCACTTACGCTGCCCCCACCCGGCCACGCCACCCACGCCCACCCATTCTGACCACTTACGCTGCCCCCACCCGGCCACGCCACCCACGCCCACCCATTCTGACCACTTACGCTGCCCCCACCCGGCCACGCCACCCACGCCCACCCATTCTGACCACTTACGCTGCCCCCACCCGGCCACGCCACCCACGCCCACCCATTCTGACCACTTACGCTGCCCCCACCCGGCCACGCCACCCACGCCCACCCATTCTGACCACTTACGCTGCCCCCACCCGGCCACGCCACCCACGCCCACCCATTCTGACCACTTACGCTGCCCCCACCCGGCCACGCCACCCACGCCCACCCATTCTGACCACTTACGCTGCCCCCACCCGGCCACGCCACCCACGCCCACCCATTCTGACCACTTACGCTGCCCCCACCCGGCCACGCCACCCACGCCCACCCATTCTGACCACTTACGCTGCCCCCACCCGGCCACGCCACCCACGCCCACCCATTCTGACCACTTACGCTGCCCCCACCCGGCCACGCCACCCACGCCCACCCATTCTGACCACTTACGCTGCCCCCACCCGGCCACGCCACCCACGCCCACCCATTCTGACCACTTACGCTGCCCCCACCCGGCCACGCCACCCACGCCCACCCATTCTGACCACTTACGCTGCCCCCACCCGGCCACGCCACCCACGCCCACCCATTCTGACCACTTACGCTGCCCCCACCCGGCCACGCCACCCACGCCCACCCATTCTGACCACTTACGCTGCCCCCACCCGGCCACGCCACCCACGCCCACCCATTCTGACCACTTACGCTGCCCCCACCCGGCCACGCCACCCACGCCCACCCATTCTGACCACTTACGCTGCCCCCACCCGGCCACGCCACCCACGCCCACCCATTCTGACCACTTACGCTGCCCCCACCCGGCCACGCCACCCACGCCCACCCATTCTGACCACTTACGCTGCCCCCACCCGGCCACGCCACCCACGCCCACCCATTCTGACCACTTACGCTGCCCCCACCCGGCCACGCCACCCACGCCCACCCATTCTGACCACTTACGCTGCCCCCACCCGGCCACGCCACCCACGCCCACCCATTCTGACCACTTACGCTGCCCCCACCCGGCCACGCCACCCACGCCCACCCATTCTGACCACTTACGCTGCCCCCACCCGGCCACGCCACCCACGCCCACCCATTCTGACCACTTACGCTGCCCCCACCCGGCCACGCCACCCACGCCCACCCATTCTGACCACTTACGCTGCCCCCACCCGGCCACGCCACCCACGCCCACCCATTCTGACCACTTACGCTGCCCCCACCCGGCCACGCCACCCACGCCCACCCATTCTGACCACTTACGCTGCCCCCACCCGGCCACGCCACCCACGCCCACCCATTCTGACCACTTACGCTGCCCCCACCCGGCCACGCCACCCACGCCCACCCATTCTGACCACTTACGCTGCCCCCACCCGGCCACGCCACCCACGCCCACCCATTCTGACCACTTACGCTGCCCCCACCCGGCCACGCCACCCACGCCCACCCATTCTGACCACTTACGCTGCCCCCACCCGGCCACGCCACCCACGCCCACCCATTCTGACCACTTACGCTGCCCCCACCCGGCCACGCCACCCACGCCCACCCATTCTGACCACTTACGCTGCCCCCACCCGGCCACGCCACCCACGCCCACCCATTCTGACCACTTACGCTGCCCCCACCCGGCCACGCCACCCACGCCCACCCATTCTGACCACTTACGCTGCCCCCACCCGGCCACGCCACCCACGCCCACCCATTCTGACCACCCAGCGCTGCCTCCCCACGTCCTGCGACTCCCACTCCACCCAGCACCCCGTGTCCTTCTGACACTGACCCCTCTGCTCCCCCAGATCAGAGTACTTAGCACGAAACGCCTTCCTCAGCCTGAACCCCAACGTCACGGGAGTCTTCAGGGGACCCTACGGGGAGGAGGGGGGGATGGGAGGACATGCTGGCTGGCTCCCCCCGACCCTCGCCTTGCTCCCCCCACCGGGCACCGTGTGCCCACCCTGGCTCAGGTGCCGCTTCTCACCTGGCTGCAGATCTGGAGCATGGCCAACAACCACCTCAACTTCCTCAACTCCTTCAAGATGAAGATGTCGGTGATTCTGGGCATCGTCCACATGAGCTTCGGGGTGCTGCTCGGCGTCTTCAACCACGTGTGAGTCACTGCTGCCCCCACCCGGCCATGCCGCCCACGCCCACCCATTCTCACCACTTACGCTCCCCCCACCCGGCCACGCCACCCACGCCCACCCATTCTGACCACTTACGCTGCCCCCACCCGGCCATGCCGCCCACGCCCACCCATTCTGACCACTTACGCTGCCCCCACCCGGCCATGCCGCCCACGCCCACCCATTCTGACCACTTACGCTGCCCCCACCCGGCCATGCCGCCCACGCCCACCCATTCTGACCACTTACGCTGCCCCCACCCGGCCATGCCGCCCACGCCCACCCATTCTGACCACTTACGCTGCCCCCACCCGGCCATGCCGCCCACGCCCACCCATTCTGACCACTTACGCTGCCCCCACCCGGCCATGCCGCCCACGCCCACCCATTCTGACCACTTACGCTGCCCCCACCCGGCCATGCCGCCCACGCCCACCCATTCTGACCACTTACGCTGCCCCCACCCGGCCATGCCGCCCACGCCCACCCATTCTGACCACTTACGCTGCCCCCACCCGGCCATGCCGCCCACGCCCACCCATTCTGACCACTTACGCTGCCCCCACCCGGCCATGCCGCCCACGCCCACCCATTCTGACCACTTACGCTGCCCCCACCCGGCCATGCCGCCCACGCCCACCCATTCTGACCACTTACGCTGCCCCCACCCGGCCATGCCGCCCACGCCCACCCATTCTGACCACTTACGCTGCCCCCACCCGGCCATGCCGCCCACGCCCACCCATTCTGACCACTTACGCTGCCCCCACCCGGCCATGCCGCCCACGCCCACCCATTCTGACCACTTACGCTGCCCCCACCCGGCCATGCCGCCCACGCCCACCCATTCTGACCACTTACGCTGCCCCCACCCGGCCATGCCGCCCACGCCCACCCATTCTGACCACTTACGCTGCCCCCACCCGGCCATGCCGCCCACGCCCACCCATTCTGACCACTTACGCTGCCCCCACCCGGCCATGCCGCCCACGCCCACCCATTCTGACCACTTACGCTGCCCCCACCCGGCCATGCCGCCCACGCCCACCCATTCTGACCACTTACGCTGCCCCCACCCGGCCATGCCGCCCACGCCCACCCATTCTGACCACTTACGCTGCCCCCACCCGGCCATGCCGCCCACGCCCACCCATTCTGACCACTTACGCTGCCCCCACCCGGCCATGCCGCCCACGCCCACCCATTCTGACCACTTACGCTGCCCCCACCCGGCCATGCCGCCCACGCCCACCCATTCTGACCACTTACGCTGCCCCCACCCGGCCATGCCGCCCACGCCCACCCATTCTGACCACTTACGCTGCCCCCACCCGGCCATGCCGCCCACGCCCACCCATTCTGACCACTTACGCTGCCCCCACCCGGCCATGCCGCCCACGCCCACCCATTCTGACCACTTACGCTGCCCCCACCCGGCCATGCCGCCCACGCCCACCCATTCTGACCACTTACGCTGCCCCCACCCGGCCATGCCGCCCACGCCCACCCATTCTGACCACTTACGCTGCCCCCACCCGGCCATGCCGCCCACGCCCACCCATTCTGACCACTTACGCTGCCCCCACCCGGCCATGCCGCCCACGCCCACCCATTCTGACCACTTACGCTGCCCCCACCCGGCCATGCCGCCCACGCCCACCCATTCTGACCACTTACGCTGCCCCCACCCGGCCATGCCGCCCACGCCCACCCATTCTGACCACTTACGCTGCCCCCACCCGGCCATGCCGCCCACGCCCACCCATTCTGACCACTTACGCTGCCCCCACCCGGCCATGCCGCCCACGCCCACCCATTCTGACCACTTACGCTGCCCCCACCCGGCCATGCCGCCCACGCCCACCCATTCTGACCACTTACGCTGCCCCCACCCGGCCATGCCGCCCACGCCCACCCATTCTGACCACTTACGCTGCCCCCACCCGGCCATGCCGCCCACGCCCACCCATTCTGACCACTTACGCTGCCCCCACCCGGCCATGCCGCCCACGCCCACCCATTCTGACCACTTACGCTGCCCCCACCCGGCCATGCCGCCCACGCCCACCCATTCTGACCACTTACGCTGCCCCCACCCGGCCATGCCGCCCACGCCCACCCATTCTGACCACTTACGCTGCCCCCACCCGGCCATGCCGCCCACGCCCACCCATTCTGACCACTTACGCTGCCCCCACCCGGCCATGCCGCCCACGCCCACCCATTCTGACCACTTACGCTGCCCCCACCCGGCCATGCCGCCCACGCCCACCCATTCTGACCACTTACGCTGCCCCCACCCGGCCATGCCGCCCACGCCCACCCATTCTGACCACTTACGCTGCCCCCACCCGGCCATGCCGCCCACGCCCACCCATTCTGACCACTTACGCTGCCCCCACCCGGCCATGCCGCCCACGCCCACCCATTCTGACCACTTACGCTGCCCCCACCCGGCCATGCCGCCCACGCCCACCCATTCTGACCACTTACGCTGCCCCCACCCGGCCATGCCGCCCACGCCCACCCATTCTGACCACTTACGCTGCCCCCACCCGGCCATGCCGCCCACGCCCACCCATTCTGACCACTTACGCTGCCCCCACCCGGCCATGCCGCCCACGCCCACCCATTCTGACCACTTACGCTGCCCCCACCCGGCCATGCCGCCCACGCCCACCCATTCTGACCACTTACGCTGCCCCCACCCGGCCATGCCGCCCACGCCCACCCATTCTGACCACTTACGCTGCCCCCACCCGGCCATGCCGCCCACGCCCACCCATTCTGACCACTTACGCTGCCCCCACCCGGCCATGCCGCCCACGCCCACCCATTCTGACCACTTACGCTGCCCCCACCCGGCCATGCCGCCCACGCCCACCCATTCTGACCACTTACGCTGCCCCCACCCGGCCATGCCGCCCACGCCCACCCATTCTGACCACTTACGCTGCCCCCACCCGGCCATGCCGCCCACGCCCACCCATTCTGACCACTTACGCTGCCCCCACCCGGCCATGCCGCCCACGCCCACCCATTCTGACCACTTACGCTGCCCCCACCCGGCCATGCCGCCCACGCCCACCCATTCTGACCACTTACGCTGCCCCCACCCGGCCATGCCGCCCACGCCCACCCATTCTGACCACTTACGCTGCCCCCACCCGGCCATGCCGCCCACGCCCACCCATTCTGACCACTTACGCTGCCCCCACCCGGCCATGCCGCCCACGCCCACCCATTCTGACCACTTACGCTGCCCCCACCCGGCCATGCCGCCCACGCCCACCCATTCTGACCACTTACGCTGCCCCCACCCGGCCATGCCGCCCACGCCCACCCATTCTGACCACTTACGCTGCCCCCACCTGGCCACGCCACCCACGCCCACCCATTCTGACCACTTACGCTGCCCCCACCCGGCCACGCCACCCACGCCCACCCATTCTGACCACTTACGCTGCCCCCACCCGGCCACGCCACCCACGCCCACCCATTCTGACCACTTACGCTGCCCCCACCCGGCCACGCCACCCACGCCCACCCATTCTGACCACTTACGCTGCCCCCACCCGGCCACGCCACCCACGCCCACCCATTCTGACCACTTACGCTGCCCCCACCCGGCCACGCCACCCACGCCCACCCATTCTGACCACTTACGCTGCCCCCACCCGGCCACGCCACCCACGCCCACCCATTCTGACCACTTACGCTGCCCCCACCCGGCCACGCCACCCACGCCCACCCATTCTGACCACTTACGCTGCCCCCACCCGGCCACGCCACCCACGCCCACCCATTCTGACCACTTACGCTGCCCCCACCCGGCCACGCCACCCACGCCCACCCATTCTGACCACTTACGCTGCCCCCACCCGGCCACGCCACCCACGCCCACCCATTCTGACCACTTACGCTGCCCCCACCCGGCCACGCCACCCACGCCCACCCATTCTGACCACTTACGCTGCCCCCACCCGGCCACGCCACCCACGCCCACCCATTCTGACCACTTACGCTGCCCCCACCCGGCCACGCCACCCACGCCCACCCATTCTGACCACTTACGCTGCCCCCACCCGGCCACGCCACCCACGCCCACCCATTCTGACCACTTACGCTGCCCCCACCCGGCCACGCCACCCACGCCCACCCATTCTGACCACTTACGCTGCCCCCACCCGGCCACGCCACCCACGCCCACCCATTCTGACCACTTACGCTGCCCCCACCCGGCCACGCCACCCACGCCCACCCATTCTGACCACTTACAGTTATGGTGCCTGCACCCGGCCATGCCGCCTGTGCCCAGCCACAATGCCTGCACCTGGCCATGCCGCCTGTGCCCAGCCACACCGCCCACATCTGGCCACGCTGCCTGCGCTCACCCACGCTGCCCACTTGCGCCAGCCACACCCAGCCACCCTGCTCACACCTGGTCACTCCACCCACACACCCCACACCCAGCCAAGCCACCTGCAGCCGGCCACCCACCCATGCCCAACCATACCACTCACACCTTGCCGTGCCTTCACCCATACCCTGCCACACTGCCTACGCCTGGTCATGATGCCTGTGTCCAACTGCACTGCCCACTTGTGGTGCCCACACCGCTCACACCCAAGTGCACTGCCCACTTGCCCACGTCCGTGCTCTGGCACCCATGCATGCCATCCCCCATGCCCTTTGTTTGGGCCTGCCTGTTGCATCCTGGCCCTGCAGACCACGTGATCTAGAGGAGAGGGCCCCAAAGCCTGGCATATCCCCCCAGCCTCTCCCTGTGCCCAGGGATCTGTGTCTGTGGGAAATGCAGGCCCTGGATGGGAACTGTCTGCCAGGACTGGCGCCTGAGTATCTTCCCTGGATGTACCCCTCTTGCCCTCAAGCCTTCCCTGCCCCAGGGCGTGGCCCTTGTGCGACTGGGGGCACCAGCACCACACGGCACCCTGGGGTGGCCTTGGGACTGGCGCCCAGCACAGATGGGGCGTGCTCGCCCGTTGGCCCAGGGCGTTGCAAGGTGTGAGCAGGCCATGCTGCCAGGCTGGCGAGGAAACCTGCCAGGAAGGGCTGTCCCCCCAGCTCTGCAAAACTGCATGGCTCCCCCAGGGCATGTCCTGACCCCTGGCAGCCCAAAGCAGCCCTCAGCACTGGGACCCTGCCAGTCGGGGTTGCTGCTCTCCAGTCAGGGCAGTGGTGCAGGCCCTGGGCATGCAGGGCCTGGGCCGATCCCCCTCTTGCTGGCATGCAGGCACTTCAAGCAGCCGTACAAGGTGGTGCTGGTCTTCCTGCCCGAGGTGGTCTTCCTGCTGGCGCTCTTCGGCTACCTCGTCTTCATGATCTTCTACAAGTGGTTCACGTTCAGCGCCGTTAACTCCCTGCTGGCACCCAGCATCCTCATCCACTTCATCGACATGTTCCTCTTCACCGAGAACCCCGAAAACCATCCGCTGTACCCGGGACAGGTAACTCTCCCCAGCAACCACCGGCCGTGTCGGGGACAATTAACACCCCCAGCAACTGCCTGCTGTACCCAGGACAGGCACCCTCTGCCCCTGGGATGGGGACCATGACAGGCAGTCCCTGCTCTGCCTGGGATGCGAACCCCTACCAGGCTAGCATCTGCAGCCACTTTTCCCTTCCCCCGCCCAGCCAAGCTGCCCTGTGGCCCCACCACACCCTGCCCCAGACCCATAGCTGGTCTGGGGGGAAGGACCCAACCTCCAGATCCCCCATGCTGCTCCCTGCCCCTGGGGCTGCGCTCATCCCCTTAGGGAGGGAAGTGCACTGGGGCAGAGGGATCACAACACAAAGGGGGTCCCCTGGAACAACATGGGGTTCACTGCCTGATGCAGCCAGTTCCCCTGCCAGTCACAGGACCCATCCAGCCCCCCCATCCCAGCTCACACGAATGGACCCATCCAGCTCCCCCAGCCCAGCTCACACCAATGGACCCATCCAGCCCCCCCAGCCCAGCTCAACTCAGAGCCCCCCCAGCACTGCCAGCCCAGCTCACACCAATGGACCCATCCAGCTCCCCCCAAGCCCAGCTCACACCAATGGACCCATCCAGCTCCCCCCAAGCCCAGCTCACACCAATGGACCCATCCAGCTCCCCCCAAGCCCAGCTCACACCAATGGACCCATCCAGCTCCCCCCAAGCCCAGCTCACACCAATGGACCCATCCAGCTCCCCCCAAGCCCAGCTCACACCAATGGACCCATCCAGCTTCTCCCCAGCCCAGCTCACACCAATGGACCCATCCAGCTCCCCCCCATCCCAGCTCACACCAATGGACCCATCCAGCTTCTCCCCAGCCCAGCTCACACCAATGGACCCATCCAGCTCCCCCCCAGCCCAGCTCACACCAATGGACCCATCCAGCTCCCCCCCAGCCCAGCTCACACCAATGGACCCATCCAGCTCCCCCCCAGCCCAGCTCACACCAATGGACCCATCCAGCTCCCCCCCAGCCCAGCTCACACCAATGGACCCATCCAGCTCCCCCCCAGCCCAGCTCACACCAATGGACCCATCCAGCTCCCCCCCAGCCCAGCTCACACCAATGGACCCATCCAGCTCCCCCCCAGCCCAGCTCACACCAATGGACCCATCCAGCTCCCCCCCAGCCCAGCTCACACCAATGGACCCATCCAGCTCCCCCCCAGCCCAGCTCACACCAATGGACCCATCCAGCTCCCCCCCAGCCCAGCTCACACCAATGGACCCATCCAGCTCCCCCCCAGCCCAGCTCACACCAATGGACCCATCCAGCTCCCCCCCAGCCCAGCTCACACCAATGGACCCATCCAGCTCCCCCCCAGCCCAGCTCACACCAATGGACCCATCCAGCTCCCCCCCAGCCCAGCTCACACCAATGGACCCATCCAGCTCCCCCCCAGCCCAGCTCACACCAATGGACCCATCCAGCTCCCCCCCAGCCCAGCTCACACCAATGGACCCATCCAGCTCCCCCCCAGCCCAGCTCACACCAATGGACCCATCCAGCTCCCCCAGCCCAGCTCACACCAATGGACCCATCCAGCTCCCCCCCATCCCTGCTCACACCAGTGGACCCATCC